CAATTTTCTTTAAAAAATTTGGAGCCGTTTTTAAGAAAATTGTGTTTAAACGCCACGAAAAATTCTAAACTTGAAGCCCTTTTTAAAAGAAAATTTTTGATTTTTAGAAAAACTTATTTTCTATGACATTAGAAGTCATTTGAAGTACTTTAACATATAGTGTTTACAAAGTGTGCAAATTAACGGCGTAAGAGATCTTCCAAGACAATTGCATTTAAGTAATTTTTGAAAAAAAAGAAAGAAAAAAAAAAGAAAACGAAATGAACTTTACGTCATATTAAAGAATGGAATTAGCACTATCCGTTCGAAGAGTTTGAAGCAAAAATTTGGAGCCGCTTTTTAGACTGCGACTTCATCCGCGCCACTTACCATGGAGAACGCCACCATGGAGGTTTTCTGTGCGTATGAGGAGACGCGCTCAGGCATCTTATGATGTTTTTACTTTCCAGTATATAGACGTATATACGAGTAATATGCGTAGTAAAAGGAAAGTTACGTAATGCTGCCCGAAAAAACGGCGGATTTTCAGCAGAAAAAATCATTGATGGGCCCTGATATCGTAAAAGTGGGTAAATCCAGTTGCTAAATTAAGAAAAATCCTCTTAAAAGATGGTGTAGCCAGAATCCCCGTTTTGTGGAAACTTGAAATAGCGACGATTTGTTCACATTATTGTATTTATGAGCACATTGCTTTACATTATGTCATATAAAAGTTTCTTGAAAACTCTACAGTTTTCTGGGAAAATGAGCTCATATTTTCACATTTTCAGAAAAGCTTAGCCGCCATTTTCTCAAAAACGGTTCCAATTTTTTAAATGAAAATTGCTATTTATGACAAGATTTTACTCTTATTTAATTATATTTAAATAATATTTAGGTTCTATTATTAGGAAACCGAAAAATTGAGAAAATGGAAAACAAATCTACTTTAGGTGGCGATAGATGGCAGCTGGCAAGAGTAGTGGCAAGTCCGAATGCTCGCCCAGACCAAAGAAAATTGAAAACTAATACGAGAAAGTCTATGGTATTCTGTAACACTAGTTTATTTTACTTTTTTGCATTAGATAACTGACGATAATAGCAAAGCCATCGAAAGCTGCTGATATGAAATAATAATGATGGCCAATACAACGCTTCTAATTAATTCAGTTAAAACTCAAGATTTAACCGGAAATATTTCATATATTTGTAGATACAACAATTTAAATTATTTACAGTTTTCTACAATAGTCATTTTCTTTTCCGAAAATAATGCGGGCTTCCAACCACCGTAGTGTTTTCCAAAATATAGTTCCTGTGGATCCTATCTGGTATCGCCACAAATTTTCTGAGTGCATCGTAACAGACATACTTAACGGGTTGAACTCTTGAAAATTTCCTCTAAATATAATTTTTACAGAAGGGTCTCTAATTAGCAAGCAGTTGAATTTAAAACATGCAGCAGTTAATTGCGTATTAAAGGAAATGACTTTAAAAATATACTCGCACAATAATTCTTAAACTTTGTTTCTTTTATCCAACAGGAGTGGATCTAAGCACTGAAAACGTTTGTGGTATTTCCCACAAATTTACATGTTTATGTGCAGGAAACACATGGTGGAAGGACAAGAGAGAAATGATAAATATTTAACAGCCTGTCAACAAATTTTATAATAGCACTCGTTCATTCATTATAATAACTTATCTTTATTTTATTTTAGATAAGCAATGTACGCAGTTAGCAAAAGTAAAGTCCGAATAGCTTTTGAAGGCATATTGGTAGCAAAAATGAAAGGGTTTAGCAAGCCTTGTTACTTACCACATCCTCTGCGTCAGTGAGTTTCTGAAACGCAGACATTGTGATCATTATGACTTTGAGTTTTCTAATTCCTGTAATTTTGGCTTGGATTTATTCTGTAATACGGACCTTGTCCATCTACTAGTAAGAGGTTACTAAGAGAAACTCTTACTAGTAGATGGACAGGGTCCATTGTATCAGCAACATTCGATGGCTTTGCCGTTATCGGCATGTATCTAATAGAAAAAAGTAAAATGAACTAGTAGTGCCACAGAATAGCATGGACTTTCTCGTATTACAAGTTGTAGTTTTCTATTTTCTTTGGTCTGGGCGAGTTATTCGGACTTGTCTCGTTCATTTAGGACGAGGTTTTACCGTTCTTTAATATACTTAAAATAATATTTCCGTTCTATTAGGAAATCGAAAAATTAAGACAATTTAAAAAAAAATGTACTTAGAGTGGCGATAGCAGCTGGCAAGAGAATGTGGCATGTCGGAATAGCTAGCCGAGATCAAAGGAAATAGAAAACTAATTCGGGAACGTCTGTGCCATTCTGTAGCACCACTGGTTAATTTTATTCTTCGATAGCGTAAAGGACGTTTAGATTGAATGGTGCAGATCTTATTTTCCCTGGTTGAAATCCCTGATTTTTTCGAAAATTGCAAAAACTCAATTTTTTCGGCGTATTCCTACGACTCTTTGAACTTAATTTTTTACTTTTTCGCTGCCGCTCACGCAGTAGAGAGAAAGTAATGTAATGCTGTGGGTAAAAGCGGAGAATTTTCATTAGAAGGCCCTCGAAACAAAAATGTGAATAAATCCAGATGAAAAAACTTAGAAAAATTTCTTTAACATGTGGTATAGCCAGCAGAATCCATGTTTTACTGGTCATTGATACCAACAAATCGATTGAGGGGAAAAACGTTCGTCCGTCCGTGTGTGAACATCACTATCGGCTAAATCGTTCAGCCGATTTTCTCCAAAATTGGCATTTCCCCTAAAAATAGGCCTTCTTTTAATCCCATTTTTGGGTAATGCTCGTTTTTTTTCGAAATTTGCAAAAAGATTTAAAACTACAAAATTGAAGTTGTTTTTGCCTCAGACAAAGTCTGTTGTACAAAAGTAGCTCTTTAAAACGGCTCATATACAATAATAATAAAAAAACAGTATTTTTTGCTTAATTTCTGTTTGAAATTAATGAAATACATACTTGTGTACCACTATTGAAAATGCCAATATAAATTTTATATTTACTTTCTCGCATTTTTACTTTTTACTCTATTCTACAAGGTGTATTTTCAATGTACTGATGTATTTCTTTCAAGCAATCCAAAATGCTTAATGGATATTTGAGCAGCTCATTGCTGTTGAACGTCGAGACGCAGCGGTGATAAGATACAGCTGTTTTATTTCGTCAGGCTTGTTTCCAAATTATCCGGTTAGAAATTATTCGAAACCTATTTGATAATCCTGATTGATATTTATACTTTCTCATATACATGCGTGCATACCGAGTTCAAATACGTAGTATTGAGAAAGTTATGTAAGGGTCCGCGAAAAAAAGGCGAATTTTCGGCAGAAAAGCCTTTATTGCCGGGCCCTGGTAAGGAAAAGTGTATAAATTCAGTTGCTAAATTTATAAAAGAATCCTCTAACACATGGTGTAGCCAAAATCCATGTTTTGTGGAACCTTGATACCGAAAAATTGATTTACAGCCCAACGTCAGTCCGTCCGGTGTATCTGAACAGCACTAGCGCCTACACCATGCATAGGTTTTTTTCCAAATTGAAGAAACCCGTCGATCTGCCCTGAATCGAAGCTCTGTGAATTTGAAAAACATTTATTAATTTTTGGCGGTACTTTACATGAAGCCCCTGCCACTTTTTCAAAATGTTCTCAGAAATAGCTCCATTAAAAAGAATTTATTTTAAGAATAAGGTGAAATGCACTTTCAATGCTGGCATAGGTATGATTTTCACTGTTAACCCAGAACTTTTGAAAATTCCAAAAGTTTGAATGTTTTTTGGCGTCTTTCTACAATGACTAAATTGAAGATTAAATTTCATTTGAAGAAAAAATATTAGTTCTTTCAAATCATGTACATTTATTAAAAATGTTAGAAGTTTTTGCGCAATATGTGTAATTTAAGAAAACAAAATAAAGATTTTCTCGTAAACCGCTCCAAATTTTTTCTTTAAACTTTTAGTAGGGACAGAGATACACATTCTATGAGATGGCAAATGCCATATTGCTCGGTTCTTTGTTGTTTTTTTTTCAAAAAATTAAAAGAATGTAAATATTTTTACTTCTCCTTCATGTCATTAATATTTCCATTAGCGTCGATTTCTTCACAATATACTGCATAAGTAATCGCAAGAAGTAAAAATGGTAACACCTTAAAGTGAAATTTCAAATAGAAAAAAAAAAAAAAAAAAAAAAAAAAAAAAAAAAAAAAAAAAAAAAAAAAAAAAAAAAAAAAAAAAAAAAACCCCTTTTGAAACTCCCTTCAAGTGTTTACTTGTCAGAGACTACTTTTTTTTTTCTCCCCTAGAATATTTAGATTTTGATAGAGATCCATTCCCATTTATTAATTTTTGTCTTATAAATTTGTTTGAAATCAAATTGTAACATTCCACAACAATCATGAACTGATCATGCAAATTGTATTGGACATAATGGTTTTATTTATTTTGATTATGACTACTGATTAATTCACATATCACATATTAAAAGATATTCGGCCAAGAATACAGTTAGATGACAAAAAATCATAATGTAAATAAAGATACAGTCGTCGTAAAAACTTGTTCCCAAATTTTCAAGAGATAAAAATAAAAAATTATTCTTAATGAATTGCACGTTACAAAATTGAGATAAAAATGTTTTGCGAGTTTAAATATCAATAGATTTCAATTCCCGATTGATAATAAGCAAAAGCTAATAAATAATAAGCACAAATATTATACCCACGGCACGCGAGCCTTTAACAGGACAGTTGCATTGTAGAGCCCTGAGAATCCTACAGATTTTAACAGAAAGGTGCTGAAAAGGTTGATATGCAAAGAATGCAAGAGACTGTCAGTCATCTAATTCAAATGTCAAATAGCAAACCTCTCAGATGTCTTTCAAATTTTTAGGGGTTGAGGCATTGTTATGTTCTATAATGAGCAGGGAATATAATTTATTGCAATAAAAAAGCAAAAGATGTACAAATATATGTATTAACCTTTCCCAAAATATGGAAGAAAAAATGGAAAACAGCTAAAATAAAAATTAATTTTAGTGTTTAAAATTGTTCTATGTACTTTCTTTCCCTGTTCAGATCTTAATATAGATTTTGTGCAGCTGAAAGAAAATTATATTTCTATAGAAGTAATTGTATACTAGTCTTCACCACACACATTTTATTAGTTTCATTAAAATTAACATCTGAAAAAATACTTTCATTATGTATACAATATTGTTTAAGAGGGGCCAGTGCTCAAGAAAATAGTGGTACTGTGTAGCCAGTGATTGATCCTGGAAGGGGTGGGTAAGGGTGTTATATAAAAGGAACACATACCCCCACCCCCCAATTCAACATTGCAAAAAGACTGATCTGTAAAAAATCTTTCTTAGTTCTCCACTGAGTTACGAATGCGCTGTTGAAAGATGAGTCATGTGGTTGAAATTACTTCTGCTTCACAAACATATGCTCATCTTTGACTAAAAATGCAGTTTCCCAGCGGTGGAGAAGTGGGGGTGGTGTTAAGTGTGAAAATTCGTGGGAAGACATGCTGGATGAAGAAGTGAAGTAGCATTGCATTGGTTTGTAGGACAGGTGATTGTGCAATGTATGGCAAATTCTTATATGTGAACGGTCTTGTTTCTACAAATAAATATATTAAAATATAATTAAATATGTAAAACATGTAAAATTATGAAATAGTACCAAAATAATTAAAATAAAAATTGTTAAAATTCATTAAGAATGACTAGTTAACCAAAAAATATTAATTAATGCAGGTATCTTGTACCTAAAAGAAAACGAACATTTAATTACATGAAAATCTATTCCCTAATAATGAGAAATTAATTTTCTTAAAAAAATCCTGACTTCTAACAAAATCACCTGTTTTTTCCATGACATTTTCAAATTAATGAATTATTCTCAGACTTTACCCAGTTTTCCATAAAGTGGCCACCCTGTAAAAGGTTAGAATTTGAATTACAAGACAAAAGGAATGGTAATAAAAACTAGTAAGCTGATTCTTTATTCACTTAGTAAGCCAATCCTGGAAGAAACTGGGGAACAAACCTGATTTCATGCGATAGAGAGTGAAGAAATAATTTCTAGTAAATTTAATGGCATATTTATTGTTTTTTTTTAATTTTTTTTTTTTACACTGTGCATTAACACCTGATAGGAACAATGAGCATTCAATAAATCAATTTGATAGGCATTTTGAAATACAATACCCAAACAGAGTTTGCAATTTAGACTATACATTACCTGCATTTATTCATTAACCAATGCATGTTGCAATTATTTTTCACAAAAATGTACAATGGTTAAAAAATTTAATGGAACATAATTGTACTAGATGTCTTATGTTGGTGGCTTAACAGCGTGGATTTGTTATGCAGACATTATGAAATACATTAAACAATTTGGCACTGAGAATTTTCCTAGAAGTTTCTCGGAAGAATATTTTATAAAACATGCGCACATTTTCACATGTAAATGGCACCATAGTGAGGGAAATTTTTGTTGTTCCATTACCTTTAATTCATATGGTTTGGAATTCACAATATTTCTGTTTATAATTCTAGAGGCCTTGTTTACAACTCAGTCTTAGCCTTTGTACATCTGGGCATTCACACAATCAAATATATACAACAAAATATGATAAAATTTTCAAGGATGATATTATCAAAATACTGTTGAATCACTAGGCAAAGCACATGTTATGAGATTCAGTTTCTTTTCTGTTAAAATAAAACTTACTCTTGCTTTTCCTAAGTAAAATGGTTTCCTTCCTCTTCCTGCTGATTAAATCTTGTAAAAGAAATCTTGTTGTCTACGGCACTTCTGTTTCATTTGGCAGAAACATCCAATGTTTTCAACACTGCAGTGTAAAGCAACATAATTCATTGCAAATGGTGCAGAACAGCAACTGTAGTATTTTTGCGGTAAAACATTTTGGAAGCTCTCAAAATCTATGTACACAAAAATAACGAACTGCCATTCAACACCACTTACAAACACCCATTATGCTTCCCTTAACTGCCCTAGGTAGTTGCACATAGCTACTCTACAATAAAAACTAAATCTACTTTCCACCTGCTGCTAGCCCATTTGCAGCTGTGTCATCGTCACGTGGTTCATGCGGAGCAGGTAACTTTTCCCATGATGGTTCCACACTCCAAATTTCACGAGCATATTCAGCAATTGTGCGGTCACTTGAGAACTTGCCCGATGAAGCAATGTTGTTGATAGCCATCTCTGACCATTTTGCTTGATCCTGAAACAGGAAATTCTCAAACTCATTTCTTGATTTATTAAATTTTTCTTGCTTTTGTTACTAGCCATGAGTGGAAGTGATCTTTGTAACAAAAGAATGGTAACTGAAATAGTCCTTAAAAGGCAAATAAAAGTGAAAAGTATGTGTAAATGCTAAATATTTTTGAAGATTTTTATATTACAAGGTTCAATTTAAGCTATATAATGATAATAGAATGAACAGATTATTTACTTGTGCATTCTTCTGTACATAATTAAATAAATAAGTAGGGTGAAGTTTAACTAGAACAACTTTAAGAAAACTAATGGTGACTTTTCCCTAAAAGCTTCAAGAATTCCATCAATATTTTAGATACTAATAATTTATGCACAAGTAATAGGCCCAGCAGTTTGGAAAGAATGTCTGTATTTGCTACACAAGTCTGCTAAAAATGTACCTGCAGGTATGATGTGACTTTGATATATTTATGCATCATCCATTTAATTTTTATACATATCAGAAAGATGGTGAATTTACCAAAGAAAACCATGCCAAAGCAAACCACATAAATTATCTATCTGTAACCTTATAACCTTTTTTTTCACCTTTTGTGAGACATATTGCAGAAATTAAAAAATGTTTTGAAAATGATTCCTAAATTTTGGGTTAAACCACAATAATACAAAATTAAGTGAAGACAACGCAATATTTAAACTTGTTTCAAGACTTTCCAAGACTGTTCATATCAATTTTGAGGTTAAGAAATCTAGCATCAAGATCGGATCATTATTTTAAAATTTTGATGCAACTTTAGAAGTGGAAATTTTTACAGGAGAGAGAAAATGTAATGCTCTTACATCATTTACTTTGTAGTAAATCAAATCAATTATTTTTGGCTACAGCCAAGATTACATTTATGCCAATGTTCCTTCAAGAGTACTTTGTGTGTTGTGTTCTATTCATTCAATTAAGTCTAGATATTTTTCAAAAAGATTTAGTTGCATCAGTATTCTTTTGGAACAGTAAGTTGAATCTATTATGATACATGCACAATTAAATGCTGTCTCTTCAAGCCACATATTTAAAAGAAAAATTGTGCTAATTAATTTACTGATACAGAAAAATGTCAGGTAGTTGAATTATCAATTTGAAAAAAAATTCAATAAAACTGCTTCCTTCATAATATTATTTTTATTACAAAGTAGTTCTTAAGGAATGCAATAATGTAGCATGTTGTTGCAACTGTTAGCTTGTCAGGTAACAGTAAAAAAGATAGTATTTCCCATTAAAGGAAGCTTCGAATAGTTCAACTCTTCTCAGATTACCACTGACTTTAAGGTTTTTTCTCAAGGTAGGTGAAGTTCCATGCTTCAGTGCTTTGCCAAGGGTGGTAACCAAAATAACAAAATTATATAATTAATAATACCTGGTATACAGCTGATACTGTATCTTGGCACTTGATGTATGCATCGAAGTCTGCAAGAGTGAGGAAGCGATCATACTTCATCAGCACATCTGCCACATCAGCAAACTCTGATGGGTTTTCAGGACTGAAAAATCCATTACGGATCTGGTCCACACACTGTTGGATCTCAGGATTTGCAGCATAGTAGTCATGGGCATTGTATCTATTAAATGGAGAGAAAAAAATTCACGATTTAGAAAATCATGCTATTGTGTATGTATTGAGTATTTTATATTCATAATGAAAAATGTAGTGTACTGTACGCGTGTTCTAGTTACAGGTACTATATATCAATAACCTATGGATGAACACAAACTACTTAATAAAATGATAAACGTATACAAAACAATATTGTATCACATCTCTATTCACTAGGTCAGAAGATACTTGAAAGAAAATCTTAAAGCTGATTAAAATTGATCAGCTCTAATTTTGATGCAACAAAGTATGACTGTTCAATATTTTTTCAGCAAAGAAAACTTGAGGAAAAAAAAAAATTAATAGTATTTATAAGGAATAATATGTAGTTTTAAAATCTTCTCAAAATTTTCTAATGATCCTTTCACAAATTCTGATTTTTCTCGGACAATTACAAATTTCTAGATTTTATTTTCACTATATTTTAATATTTTCCAAACTCAAAGTTACATGAAAATATTAAAAACATGTTTATGATATTACTTAAAGAACTAATTGTGAAGAATAAATTTCATTTGAAAAAAAAAGCTGGCATCAATTTATTAGCTGTCGGAGGGCATAAAAAATATCGAACTTATAATTTTGATAATTTACAGTTAATTGGACCAGGCCATCTTTGTACTCTATTCTTACACGAAATTTGGGGGATCCCAAAATAATTTCCGTTGAAATATCAAAATTTATATTTTGCGACATAATATAACTTTCTTTACACTTCATGTATTACTCCTTGCATAACTTTCTCTATACTACTTGGATTAATAAAAATAATCACTGTTAAGAATAATTGTATCGTTAGAGAAATAAAAATATATCTTTATGAGAATGCTGTAACCATGTGTGTAAGTTTAGAAACCTTTTGGAATTATTTACAAATGATCACATTTGTTTTTGAAGTTGTGATTGAAGTTGATATTTGGATTTCTATTTTTCATAGTTAAGTTTTGAAACTTCAAATAATACATGAATTTTAAACATTAGTTTGAGCATATCTTTCAAAGTGAACAAACTTTTCTTTCAGTTCTCCAACTTTGAATAAACCAGAGACCAATGCAGTTGCATCCACAAAAAATAAATAATGAATATAGAAATATGTAAATAAATAACACCTTTACCAACTACGTAAAAGTTGCTTAGAAAGAATATCTCTGTCAAATGATATCTATCTTTCAAGTGAAAACAAATATACCCTCGTTTCTTCAGTGCCTCTACTTCGTCCACAGTCATTCCAAAGATGAAGATGTTTTCCCGACCCATTTCCTCAGCCATTTCTACATTGGCACCATCCAAGGTTCCAATTGTGAGGGCTCCATTCAACTGGAATAAGATGAGAACAAATCGGTCTTTTAAAAACTACACTAGAATAAGTAATTCTTGAAAGTTTAAATCCAAATTATTGTTTCTCTGCGGCATGGTGAAACAAAACCAATATTTCTGTTAGAACTGAATGAATTCTATATTTTAAAATTATGTTTTTCCAGTCTGAAAATTCTATTAATGGCTCATTCATAAACCATTTGCCTTAATGGGAGCCAGAGAGGCTTAATGCTTCTAAAATTTAATTTTTCCCGTTTAAAAAAAAAAAAATTTTAAAAACATTTTGTGAATTTTTATCATCAAAACTGGTGTCATTTTGTTGCCTTTTTTTTGGTTGCATCTGATATTGACTCAATGCTTCTCGAAATCCCTAGGAGGGCATTGAGCGCTTGCTAGAAGTAATCCCCCATTAACATTTTTATTATTATTTGGAGTAATCCTCCGTTAATTTGTTGGTCTACTGTACAGTCTAATTTAAGTCTGCCATTAAGAGGATCGCTCAGTAGCACCTCCACATATGCACTTCTCTCTGTCGCGCTCCTGCTTCACTACTCAGCGGCCAGAATTGGGTAGTAATTAGGATAAGAGTAGGGTTTAGGACACTTCACAGTGGTTGGATTAGCCCTTGTGAAGCAGCCAAACGTGTTTTGTCAGAACAAATTTCACACGAGATCGTCCGGGAATCAAAACCGGAGAGACTTTGCTCTGAGTCGCCAAACCAGAATTTAAAATTTAGTTCTACTTTGTTCTTTTCTTAATAAGAAATAAACACTCCTATAGGGTGGGGGTGGGGGGAGATTTCCGACAGTATTTTGAGTTTCTGGTTTGCACTTTATGTAGATTTCTGTTTTGATTTCACTCATAATTCATTTGAAGGTTTGCATTCTTGTCATATCTCACAGTTTCATGTTTCATAAATTGAACATTTGAAGGCATAATTCTGCAAGTTTCATTTATTTACTTCAGGGCTGTCCATAATTTACATATATTTCTAGCACAGATTTCTAGTTTACTATTGGTTGGATGTGAGAATCAATTTCAAGGTATTGACTGTGACCATGGCCCATATGGCATTAGATCGTCTATCGACTTCGATCCTATTTCAATTCTCGATTTAGCGTACTGTGATTTCTTATGTCTTACTTAAGCATAAGTATAGAAGCTTGAAGCTTTTAAGTTAATATCTATTTCATCTATTTCATCTAAGAGGTTGGCGTGTCTCATCTCATTTTTATTGTCGTTAGAAGAGCCATGCCAACCTCTTGGCAGCAGTATAGCTCTGAAGAAGGCCACAGCAAGATGGCCGAAATGTTAATACAATTGACTGAGACGCGGCTCATCCCGGATAGCCAAGAATGCATTAACATCTTATGTGTTATGCTTATGCAAATGCATTGTGAATGTGTCTGCTAAAGGGCATAAAAATAAGCATGGCATTAACATAAAAGTTAGTTCTATGTTTGAATTTTAAATGGGTTTTAATGAAAAAAGAAAAAGAAACTGGTTTGGTGTCCTTTAGTTGTTTTAAATAATAGTATTTTCATCTTGTAATATTCTACAAATGTGCTGAAGTCAAATTCAGTGAATTTTTTCAAGACCTATAACTTTCTCACGTGTACAAGAGTCCTAAAAGAAAAACAAATGCAGAAGTGAAACAAGATGAAGTAAAATAGAAGGGTAGCGACATTTAATTTGCAGTGTAAATCATGATATGGAGTAAATAAAAATAAAACCCATCAATATTTACTTAATAAGCACATTTCATACACTAGTGTTCAGAATTTTCATACTGTAGAATGTTTTTATACAACAACACACTGTCATATTTATCATGCTGTTCACTAGTATACTCACCATAAACTTCATATTTCCAGTTCCAGATGCTTCTGTACCAGCAGTGGAGATCTGTTCACTCAAATCTGCAGCTGGCATTATCTTTTCAGCAAGTGTCACTCTGTAGTTTTCTAGGAAAATTACTTTCAATTTATCTCCAACAATGGGGTCATTGTTCACAATGTTGCCAACAGCATTGATCAGCTTAATAATCTTCTTTGCCATATAATAGCCAGGAGCAGCCTGGAGAAAAGAAAGGTATGAGATGTGATGATTTAGTTCAATTTTGTTAGGTAATGAGATTTTTTGCATAAAATTGTTAAGTTATGATTAAGTAATAACTAAGTTATTAATTCAAATTCTTCATTCTTAAATTTATTGGCATACACAATTTTTTTTGTTTCTAATTCAATTTTTAGAAAAATGAAGATTTTTCTTTCCTGTTTTTATCAATGCTGTTTTTATAATTTTCTTTTTTCTCTAACGCAACAAGTACTCACTTCATATTTTTTTTTTATCAATGTATGCGCATAATGAGTTACCATAAACCTTCAGAGGGCACACCCATAGCAAATTGGCATATGCTATGGTTTTTGCAGTTTTCTATAGTTAAGAGTATTGTAATTAGGACAAGTGGAGTGTTCATCTAATGTGTCTCCATCTCTAGCATTTATAATCGAGTCATTGTGTAGAAATGTTATACCATAATGATTTCTGTATTGTGTGATGTATTTGTAATATGATTGTTGTGGCACACCCAGTCAAGCAAGTAGTCCTTGTTTATGATTCAATATTATTTCTGCACACCTCAGTACTGCCAAAAATTATTTCTCTCTCGATTCATTGCACAAAAAGAGAGACTAAAAATCTGTAAATTTGGATTACAATTCTACTCAACAAAGTGTAGATACTGTTCATCTATCTCAAATTCCTGGATAACTAGACAATGGGACCTCACAATTTTCTTTCATTACTTTGACATTGCTGTGATTAATGTCAATATATTTAAAGTTAATAACCCTAAAATTCAGGGAAGAGGAAAAAACTGTTTTGAAGTAATTTTCTGTTGATCACATTAACATTTGCAGAAACTTGCAAAACTTCAGACAATTACTAAGATAATGATCCCTTTTTAGGCAGCTGGGCAATGAAACAATAGCTATAATTAGGATGCTTTGAGTTTCATTTGTGGTACATTTAAGAATCATAGATGAATTTCATTGGCTAACAATGTAATAACAATGTAAAAATAATGCAAGGAACAGCTTTTTCAGGAAAAAATGAATTGTTTGAAAAGGTCATTTGCAAAATATCTATTACATCATTTAGAGACAGCTTAACGTACAATATTTATAATAAAATGAAATAAAAGAAAAATATTCATTATATGCTCCCTAGAGTGAAAGCTCTTTTATTCAGAAGCTTAACACTTCCATTCTATGTACACAATTGTACTCAAATAGCATAAATAGTTAATATAAGCTCTTTTGAATCGCATAGACAACTTCATGATCTTACATTCCTATTCAAACTATGCAACAATTCAACAGATTGTGCAGAGTAACCTTCGAAGGTATCATGGAAAGTACCCACATACCAATTGAGAGGACACCATTACACCTTCTCAGTACCAACTGCTCACACAATCAATTGGTATGCCTCGGTGTGGATAATGGACAAGCATGCAAAGAAAGTTATAGTAGACAACAAAATATCTTTAACCTCGTATCAAAATATTGTGAAACTGCTTAAAAATTATCTGCTAACCAACTTCCAGTGATTCATGATTGTCTGTCATTATTTTATCTAATTATATTCTTTTGTATCTTTTTGTATCATTTTAATTTCTGTACTAGTATGTATTCATTGAGTCATTGTGAAATAAACATCTTCATCATCCTCCTATCATCATCATCATCATCATCATTATTATTATTAAAAAAGGTTAATTCAGGAATATACACTAGTGCAGTGTAAACGCCATGGGCAACCCATTCATGGAATTCAGAAGAGACTCCCGCCAAAGGGATACAGAAGCCCAACAGAACTAATTTTACTTTGCTAAAATGTTAAATGTATAAATGTCAATTGAAGAAAAGACTCATACCTTGCCTCCAATCATCACAGTTCTTGCAGTGATATTTGCAGATGGATCTCTCTTTATGCGATTGTACAGTGTTATTATATGCAGACAATTCAGCAACTGACGTTTGTATTCATGAATACGTTTAACCTAGAAGAAACAAAATCCTTTTTTACTGTTCCCTGCAATAGTGAACAATATTTTGGAAAACAACAAAAGACTTGTTACATATCATTAACCACTTTTTACACATGGAATTCCTACAATATTATTTTAGAAGACAAGGCAGAGTAAGAAAATAACAAAATAGCAAATTATGAACATTATATCACAGGTATATATTGAATACCTTTTATTTTTTGCATAGCAAATTTTGAAAATGAAAGCTCTCCTGAAATAAAATGTACATTTGTTCAGATCATCAAGAAGAATATGTACGTTCTTATTGAAATTGAAATTAAACTAGTCAAGTCTTGTGAATCTTACCTGAATGTCAAACATGGATGCTGGATTCACCTTGACACCATAGTCCTTCTCCAGAATTTGAGCCAGCCTCAATTTGTTCTCTTGCTTCACTTTTTGGACAGCTCTCTGAAAGCCTGGATCCTTTGCAAATTCTTTCAATTGCTGCAGTTGCTCCAGGTGAGTAATCCATTCCTCGCCAATTTTCTGAACAACACAAGGATTCACAATTTAAATAACTGCATAATTACACTGGCCAGGGTTTTTAAAAAAGTTTACGATATTTAAATTGTTTCAACAGTTTTTATAGGAATTGACCAAGGTTAACTTGAAAATGATATTAGTTTTCCTTGATCATGTATAGTGTTTGTGCTATAGGTCCTATGATTACTACGCATACTGCTTTTACCATTATGGCATTGTCTCTTTATAGGGGGTCAATAACTAGATAACAGACATGACAACATGAAGGTAACTACTAAGTGAAAGTAACTACATATTAGTTTCAGCACAATCTTTGTTAACAGGAAATTTTATTGAAAAACAAATATCGTAGAAAAAATTTGTACACTTCCTTTCTGAATTCATTTTTTGCGAGTAATAAATATGAATGATTGAAATAAATGCAGCTATTTACGCTTTCCTTTATTATATTTTAATGGTTTTTTTAGTTAAAAATTTATTTTACAGAAATGATAATGTTCCAGGCACCTTGATACCCCTCCATCTCTGATATATAAAATAAAGTCTCTTGTAGTTTCTTGTAGTAAATTACCTTGTAGTTTTATCATGCAAAAGTAGCTATACGTTAAATGTTCCTTTCCTTCCCTCCACATGAAAGGTATACCAAAGGGTAAATGCATTCATGATTCCCTTGTTCCATCATCTAAAGCTGGCAACGTTACTTTACTACATACAGTAGAACTTCACTTGTACATTTTTCAAAGGACTCAAAAGCAAAAAAGTTTAAGTGAGAAAAACGCACAACTGAAATTTATTATTATGAGCAAAATAAAAACTCAATATATTTGACTAGTTTTTCCGATTATTTAACAGTATCTACTTTTTTATAGCCGCTCTCCCTACTTTTAAATTTTTTTCATCTGATATTAAAAAGTGTTGCCTTTTCCCACCTCTTTCATTTAATATTGCGAACGCAAAACCAGATAGAAGATGAACTATACTTTGATTTAAACACAGAGCCTCAGAGCCACAAATTAAAACTCTGGTCAGTTTGGAAAAAATATCATCCGACAAAGGTCATCATTGAAGTCTCCCCTGAGGTAGTGGACATGCAATGTGGACCTTACTGATGACCTTTTTTGACTCCATTTCACTGCAAAAACTAAGGTAGTGTCCTGCGTGGTCTACAACAGGTAATGGCAACCTGCAGGTTGTGGTATGTTTCAGGGTTGATGTTACTAGAGATTGTGTGGGTCTAATCACGGGTTTCTATAAGGGCAACAGGAAGGGCATGACTGCTACAGCCTTACAGCCACTTTGGAAACCCTTTCCCATTGCGCCGTGTGGAAAAGAGTCAGTTTTATTAGCTGCCATGCCGCTATACCAAAAGGATCTCATATTACATTAAATATTTTATATATTATGGCAAGCATAAGGACCTTCGGAGAGTGAGACAGTCAGTGCACAAACTTCCTCACTTATTGGTCATTTCCTTTGTTACTCTATCTCGGGGATGGCTTTGACCTTCCCTTGGAGCAAGCTGTTGCGTGCTAAGATCCTCTGAGAGCACCTGTATGCACCAGACTCTGAAATTCTTTGAAGTTCTGCTGCTGGGGATGGCTTGGAAGCAGACTTTGCGCTACCACCCTGTGGGTCCATGTGGTCTTGACCCCTCAGCTAGGCCGAGTCAAGCTTCTATATTACAAGTTTCATTAGCAGGATGTCACCTCAGAGGCCGTACGACAGGTCGCCCAGTGGGAGCACTCTGGAGCGTGCCAAACACAAGTAACATACAAGTTCCGTGCTCTCGGTGTCGGTCGCCCCGCACCTCATCAGGATCATTTGAACGTTTTGCCGTCTTAAAAGGACTTATTATGAAAACAAACAACAACTTATAAATGCGAAAAATGTATAAGTGAGAAACGAACAAATGAAATTTCACTGTATGTAGCAAAACATATTTGGTTCATTTTAACATTTTCTGTTCCTGTCAATTGATGAAATTTATTTATCTTTAACATGTACTATACTCATGTAATTATAACAATTTGTCTAAAAAAAATAAATATTTTGTATTAGCATTAACATCTTATAAATAGCACAAAAGTGTCAAAAACATATATTGGCATGTAGAGAAAAAAATTGACCTGATGCAGTATTACTGATTGCAGATTTGAAATCTGCGTGAAAAATGCATAAAGAAAAAGATAAAATATTCGACATCAAAAATGACGTAGACCAGCGTTATCTTGCTGGATTGATATACTACACACTTAGACATAAAACACAAATTTAAGGAAAGAAAACAACAACAACAACAACAACAAAAACCCATTGAAAATGGCAAAAATTTACACTTTACATTTTGCGCTTGAAATCTGCCTATCATTTATGAATATTAATACAGTAACTTAAAATATAAACTTTTTGATACAAATCTGCATCTTCCTTACCTCTGCAATCAAATCAGTAATCCAGGATACATAGCAGCAACAGCGACGAGGATGATACATTTGTCTTATTTTGGAAATTTCTCTGGAGTCATTTCATAGAAATCTTTGAAGCTGAAAAGGAAACAATGTATAGCCTTTAGCTGGGAACACAACTGTCACAAAATAATTGTATAAAGTCTCTTAGTTGAAGAAAGACAGTATATGAAAAAATGTGATTTGGTTTGACTAATCAATTACTTCCTGGAAAATCTTCATTTACTGTAACAAACATGCTGGGATGACCATGCACAATATTGATTGATTTTAAGGAATTAGTCCCTTAATATGGAATCCTCAATAAATCTCAAATAGAATTTGATATCTGCAATAATAGAATTAAAATTAAAAGACTTTTAAACTTAGCCAAATCCCAAGTTGTTTTTTCTTTTTGTAATGATAATTTAAAAATGATACAATAGCAAACAAAAGATAATATACACAATAACTAAATAAAATATGAATAAAAAAGTATTTTGTGAAAATGTACAGTTTGGATTGATTCTGAAATGATTAGACTTTTTCCTCTCTATCATTTGCTTCCTAGATCTATGCAAGCAACTTCTAATAAATAAAACATCTTACATGTCACTCTTAATGATGTCAGAATGAATTCTTGCAACTCCATTGACTGCATGAGAACCCACAATGCAGAGATGAGCCATATTAATTCTTTTCTCTCCGCCTTCCTCCACAAGGGACATTCTCCGAAGACGATCAAGATCTCCAGGGTATTTTTTTCCCACTTCCTGAAAAATTTCATTAAGTGATTACTTCATTTCATTGTAGTTCTTTTCCTTGGGTCCCTATTTACCAGTGGTATGGCAATGGGGAAATCAAACCCAGCATAGCTTTTTCCCTTCTTCATATCTTTGCATAAACATAGGCAATATATTTCATTGGTTAGGACTCTATTATTAGAACATTTCATTGCATAAGCAATGCTTTCATCTTTCATCATTTATCAGATATTTAGAAAACAATTTGAAACTGTCGCCATGATTAATCATGTCATGGAAATTCCAGAACTCTCATACAGCACACAAACATTTTCCAATTTTATTTTAGTATCCATAGATGCAGAAAACAATTGTTCTTTTGGAGCAACATAGTTACTGTTGAATTAGTTTCTAAAATGAAATATACTATAATTTAAAAAAAATTAAATAAACCAAGAAACACAAAAGGGTCATTTGTAACCCGAGAAATGACTGCAAGTAGGAAAAATGCACAAAATTACACCAAAAAATTGAAAATATTTAAACTTGCAGAAACCTGTGGTACTAAATTGTGAAATACATGTAGAATTAGTTCCTAAATGTATACAATTTTCCTTCAATTACTGGGAAATTTATTCTAGGTCCATCACAGGGAGGCAGTGGTGTTTTCCTTGCATGGGGATCTTGCCATTTCTGTAGGGTAATGAGATGAGATGAGCTACTCTGTTCACCCGCTTTCCTACTTAGATATTTGACAACTGTACATCTTTCTGTTTTCTGGAGAACACAAAACTGAAAGATGATGTTTGTGGTTCTTCACGTCGTGGAGAACTGATGAAATTTAGTTTTGAAATAGGCCAATGACTTTGTGAATGACCATGTCTTGTGGGAGAATTTTCCAGAAGTTTTTTCATTCTATTCGACAATGTTTTTATTTTGTGATGATTTAAATTTTGACTTCCTGAACTTTTATCATGACCAAGAAGACATGGATTAGGTAATAAATAAAAGTATTCTTTGAGTTTTGGAACACTGCGATAATCTTTGGTCATTTTATTTCTAATACAACACTGTAATGCTTGCATTCTGTTAGTATTGTTAAATCTAGAGTACATTCATAGTTCATGGAGACCAGTGCAGGTGTTATCTTCTATTAAAGTATTCGTTAGATACACACACTTCTTACGTAACGCAGTGAGCAAAGACATGCTTTGAATGCTTTCTAGATCAAGAATACAACCATATACTTTCTTAACAATATAAATGATATTTTGGTTCAATTTCTTGTCAGATTATATCATAATACGCAGTTCTTTTACAAACTGCTGCTTCTTTATAGGTGCGAGTTATTTTTCCCTGTGTGCATGAAAATAAGTTTTGTTTACAGGAAAATATCCATCAATTTAATAGAAGTTTCATCCATTTAATGGATCAAGTTGATTACAATTTTTTTAGGATTGTCTAAAAGGTGTGAGTCATCAGCGACTTCAGGATGTTGGATTTGATGACCTATGTTACATCATGTATGTATATAACAAACAGGACAGGTCCTAAGACTTTCCCTTATGATACACTAGTGACCCATGAGATGACAAAGTCTGTTTTATAAAGTTGCATCGAAGTTACCATTAATGGCAAATACCTTAGCCAATTAAACTCATTTGCCTCTGATTTCTTTAAGGAAATTTCCATTACATATTAAAAAAGTTATGCTTGAAAAAACAACCTGCAGGTGAAGGAAATTAATGTGATAGATGATCTGCAGATGGCGTGGCAAGATGGTCTCCAGTAAATGAACAGGCCATCGCTCCAAAGCTTCAGGTAGCACAGTGTGATTTGTATAGGCACATGTGCGAACCACAATGGGCCATGCCTGTTCCCATGTCAGGCCTTCCACGTCAATGAGGATCCGCATAAGCTCTGGGATTGCCAGTGATGGATGTGTGTCATTCAGCTGAATGGCAACCTATAAAAAAGAACAAAATTTGGGATTATTTCTGTCTACTTTATTTTTATTTAGTTCGAAGCCAAAAAGATATTCCAAATAAATGGCTTATAATATATATAAAATGAAGTATTACTATGTAATGCCACCGCCATTTGTAATAATTTTTCACATCAGAGTTCATGAATCTCTAAAGACCTAAGTCTTATCTCAATATATCTTGAAGCAAGTTCATTAATGTACGAGGTCATTTTATACACTGTATGCAACATTATAAAAAGGATCATAACAAGAAAGAAAATAGGAAGGAACTAAAAAATAAATAAAAAAAGCTGGCTTGTATTTTTTACTCCTAACACATTTCAAAAATCTGTGAACAAGTATATTACAAGATTTACATTTTTACCTACATTCATTACTTAACATCAATATTAATACTGTTATTTTACATTTCCAAATTGGAACAATTGTTTTGATTAGAAAAATCAACTAAAATATTACAAAAAACACTAGAAAAACCAAGACATTTAGTAGCACTATTTTCCCTTAAAATATTCCTCTCTAATCTAATTTTCCCTGTCATTGTATGCCGAGGCACTGCTTGTAAATTTTTTCAACTTAACAACACAATTTCATTACCTTGTCAGGGAAGTGTTCAAAATTTGTTCTCACTGCAGTCCGGACACCAAATTTTGAAGCCTTAAAACGGCGTATGAGATCCTGCAAACCATTTTTAATTTCATTACAATTTTGGAATATTTTCCATTAGTCATATTTATGGCCAACAAAAACATATGCAATGTACCTGCAAAGTAGCAGCACACATGAAATACTCTTGTTTAAGACGAAGTTCTTTTCCTTCAAAGAAATTATCATTTGGATACAGCACTCTTGAGATGTTCTCTGCCAAGTTTCGATCTATTACTGCTTGGATGTAGTCACCATCATTAACTGAGAAATGACAAAACCACAATACCATTTATAAGTCTATAAAATTAAGATCTAAGAACATAAGAATGGAGTTCTAAAAACTCTTAAACTCTCTAAAAGGACTCTGATATGAGAAATCAGACTTTTTGTGAATACAGCTTCTTAGCCACAATAATACAAAGCTTAAATATTTTTGCAATTTTTTAAAAATTTTCTCACAATCCCTCAAATCTAAGCATTTAATTAAAAGTTCACTATTACCATAAATATGAAGTATTATATTTTGAGTAAATTGAGCATCAATACATTGCAATTAGTCCAAGTGGTCTTGTAGAAAAACCATGTTCCCAAACACCAATTTCTGACTGTTTGAAAAACTTAAGTATTTGAAAATTCAACTAAATATTGTGAATTTTTAAAACACTTGCATTATGTCTAACTTTTTCAACTTTTAAAAAATTCAGAGTTCACTGAAAATGAGAGCTTCAACATTTCTAAAGCATCCTTTTCTATGGAAAACATTTTGAGGCTTTAAGAAAACTTGTACATTGCATGAATTTCAAGTAGAAAATGGCAAAAAACTACCGTTTTTTCATTGATGTACAAAACTTATTTAAAGATCTGATTTGTTAGAACAGATTTCATTTAAGACAAAAACTGTGTTAAAGATTGTACTTTTGCAATGTTAATTTTCTTGCAGTTTTTGAAAATACAGAGTTCACCAAAAATGGGACCAGCACTGCTTTTTATAACATTTTTTGATACATACAAGGAGAAAATTTGAAGAAAACAGGCCTTTTGAGAAAAAAAAAAAATTATCTTCAATATTGGAAATTTATGGAGACAGAGAAAAATTGGTCGACTTATGCAATTTTTGAAAATTCAGGATATCACCGAAAATAGGAACCATGCAGGTTATTAAATTCATTCAAATTATGGGGAAATAATTTCAGAGAAAATCAACTGAATGGTTTATGAACATGGACTGAACATGGATTCAGGCTACACAGCAGGTTGGAGGATGTAATTTATTGTATAAAAGAAGAAGATTTATCCACTTTTCTCTTCCCAGGGCCCAGTAATTAGCATTTTTGTCGCAAAATTGCAATTTTCTGGCACACAATTGCAATACTTTCTCTTCTTACAAAGCAAGACAAGAAATTCAAAGGAAGAAAATACTTTGACAATGATTGCAATAAAAAAAAATACACACATCATCAAAAAAGTTTACATTAAAAAAATTAAAAACATTGAACTGAACATTGTTGGGTATTTTTTTCATGTTTTTGGGAAGTACTTTATTTTATCTTCTATCTGATTGTAATTTTATATACAAAAAGTGTTATCTAGTTTAATGTAATGGTCTACAACTGAATTTACTTTCCTTATTTGTAATAAAAACGTACTTGCTTTTGTTTTTAAGTCCCTTCAAAACTACTATTAGAACCTACTTTACAACACTTTGTGCTAATTTTTTTGCCTTCAAAACATTATTTTGATATCTACATTTAGGTAAGGACCTGAATATTTCTATAAAATTGAAAAAAATTGTTTCTTGCTATAGAACATATTAGAGCCAGAAAATTGAAAAATGCTAATAACTGCTGACTCATTAGGATTTTTAGCATCCTTCTAGACTTTTTGAAAACAGTTGAATACTGCACAACTCTGATTCTTTAACATTTTTGGTACAATTTAAGAAGGCGAAAGGAGTGTTTCGGGTAGTATGAAAAATTAATGTTTTGAGGGTTACCTTCTCTCTAGACCACAAGATTAGAAGGAATAACATTAACAGAATCAACTTACAAAATTTGAGGTTAAATTCCACAGGGGATTTAGCAGACCACAGCCTCAATGTGTTCACAACATTATTACCATAACCTGGAACAGGGCTGTCATAGGGCATCGCAAATATCACCTGGAAAATAGAAATTAAAAATTCTGTTTTTTTCAAAGATATTTGAACTCATCAACAATCAGTACTGTAATGAATTTCAAATACCATTGTCTATAGTACTAGTACTACAAAAAATATGAATGTTGTTACCGAAACACTGCAGTGTTGCATGCACGCACACAGTACTAAAAAAAATTGGCTTTTACTAATTTTCTACACTACTAATAAAAGTTAATGTATCAGTTGTTTATGTTATTAAATATTAACTATAAGTTAAAAAATTGAAATAATTTTTATATTCAGCATTAAAAAAAGAAAAATTCTTTATAATAAAACACCAAGTCAGCTGGACACTATACCTGTGGCCCCTCCCCTGAGAAAAATTCAGAATGGGCCTCTGGTTATTGCTAAGGCAATATCGTATTTAAGCATTTACTATTTCTAATTTCCTATTTTAATAAAACAATTGTGAAAAAGACACAAAATCAGAGTATCTCTCCATGCCATAAGTATCTAAAATATATTTTGTGTTTGACAATGGATTTTGTGGTAGTTTATCATGTACTGATAATCTTACACTAATCATTCAGCTGGAGAAATACACATCTTCAATGAAATACATTCCTTACCTGTGTATCCACCCATTTGACACCTTGAGGAGTCTGTTCCACTCGACCGTAGAAATTAACTGGTAACATATATTCTGGTCTTGCCTTCTCCCAGGGGTTTCCAAATCTCAGCCAGTCATCCGGCTCCTCTACCTGCAAAGCATGAAGTTTCTTGAATCTTCTGTGCAGAGAAAGTTTCCTTCATGTCTGATGTATTGTAAAGATGATATGATATATTGTAAAGAAAAATTACAGAAGTGTTCAAATTATTAGACTGAAGCATGACTTTCCTAAGTTCCCACGATATAATTGAAGAGAAACACTCAAGTGTGAAGTCTGTGAAAGGTTATGAAAGATTGCATATTGTTAAAGGGACAATGAGGCAATACAAATACAAAAAAATCCTTAAAAAGGAACTTTTTCCTCAAATTAGAGTGGTTCCCTAATGAAGATGGTATTTTTATGCACATTGCCACAAAGACAAAAGTGTCTTCAAGAATTTGAAAGAAAAGCAATTTAAAGTGTTACCACGGCCACAGAATAGCTCCGACTTGAACCCCAAAGAAAATGTATGGGGTATTACCAGAAAAGAATAAGGAAATATACAAGAAGTCTTGGACAAACTAGAGGAAATTTAGTACCGTGCCAATGAAATAAAAAAGTCGGGTGAAAAGTTGGTAAACACTATGTCAAACAGGATAAAGTTGTTGATTAAGAACAAAGACACCCACACTAACAAAGTATTAAACGTATGACTGTAACATGTACATGTATGTAAATGTGTAATAAACAAATACTTTAAGAAAAATGTCTTTTGTCTAACAATTTTAACATGTCTGTAGGTAAAAAGATAAAAAATAACAGAATATGTACATTAAAATGAAAAAAATGCTGTAAGACACTCTTTAGAAAGATAGAGAACTATGAGAGGTCATGTGTTATGTTCTACAAAACAATCCTGAAGAAAACATTCAAGTCTCAATTTTTTTTTTCTATTTATCTCTAGCTAATTGTGTTTGTTATATGAATATACTGTAAACAAGTTTTATGTCAATATGAATATTTTCTCTACATAGGATCGTGCGCACCTGTATAGTGATAGGCACAGCAACTGTAAGGGGGGAAATAATAAGACTTTCAAACAGAAAGAGGCTCCCTGCACCTAATTTCTGTCAGGTGTATCTACGTTTGCAAATCGGAATATGAATTCAATGTGGCCCAGCAGTGAGCGTAGGTACACTACAAAAGTGAATTGTCTTTTCCACGTGTCTTCTCTGCATCACAACCTTATGGATTCCTTAATGGAGGTGTCCAGTTATTGAGGAATCAAGTCAATGTGTCTGTTTTTTTTATTTGCAATCCACTATACACACAGTGTAGCCAGGGTTATAATCTACATTTTCATGACTTTTCACCTTCTCAGAGCAACCATAAGCAAAAAAAGGTAATGCCCATAACTGTAAATATTTCTGACATTCAGGATAATGATGGGCATGGAGTGCCCATCACAAATTTGAGCAACTTTTTTTTATGCATAGCTGTAATGTTAATACTGAATTTTCAAACATTGTTTGCCTTGTTAAGTAGAAATATACATTTAGAAAGATTTTAAACAGTGATGGTCACTGTGCCCAATGCTGAAATTTGAACATGCCCATTACTGTCTTAATAAACGTTCTGAGGTTAAATGTTATTACTACGGAACCGATTTTGATGACCTAAAACATTGGTAAAATTTGATCAATAAAATGCTCTTGAAATGTTTTTAAAATACCCTTAAAGGAATGAAAAATGGCATAAAAATGATTAAAACTACTTCAGATTATTAAACAACACTGATTTTGAGGTATGAAGATGCTCTGAAGAGAAATAAGTTCTCACAGAGAACAATTAAATCTGTTGTATATGTTACTGATGTAATTGAGACTTCTTCCCTTCATTCCAGTTAACTCAGTTTGCAAACTTCTGGTTTGGATGGTTCTTTACTAGGAAATCTCTCTCCTTTTTGTGGACGGTTACATCCCGAGTAAAGTCACACACAAGTAAAAGTAACTTTACTGTTCAGACGTGCGAGCTCTGTTCTGAATTACACATAATTTAAAAGCACTGTATCCAACACCACAAGAATTATCCAACCAGCAGATATAGCTGTATTTCCACCAATCCAGAGTGCATGGAAGAAAGCAGTGCTAACATGGCATCTAGAACATTCCTCTGAGGCTCTCTCAACAAAAGACATTACCCAGGAGTTGGAGAAGGTAGAAACTTTACAAAATGGTTTTAGAGCTTGTAGCTTTGTTCTTTGGAGCCTTGACTTCATTGATTTCACTAAATGTCTAGGGCAGATGTACAATGATATCGCTTCAAATGTGAATAATGAAAACATTGTAACCGCAACTCGCAGAACAAATCATTTATTTTTGAAAAATCCTGCGATATTGTTGGAGAAGAAAGAGTATAAAAGTTCAAAAAAATTAAGCAAAAAAATACAATGTAGAGGAAACAAGTAATCAAGCTAACCTCAGGGAAACAAATGTAAATCCTGCTTGTCATATTTATCCGTTTAAGGTATAAACACACTTACTGGAAGTGAAAGGAAGTGAAGTGAAGTGAAAGAAATAAGGAAATTTGCCAATCGAGAACATCTTCAGTCATTTGCAAGACTGAAAGAAGCAGCAGAATATTTCCTTTATGGAAGATTCCTGTGTGGAAACACATTCAATTTTAAGAATTATGATTTGTTCTGCCAATTGTGTCAAAAGGTGTTTCACAAATCATGCCTCTCCTCAGAAGATTCTGTAGAAAAAAGTGATTCAGAGGGCGAAAATATATTTTTTGTGTAAAAGGTTTACACTTATTAAATGACTGAAGCTGAATAAACCAGCAGTAACAAGACAATTGTGTTTAACGATGCTATTGAGCTTTTAACAATCCATTTTCTGAGTGCCCATCGCTATATTTTCTGCCACATTTTAGTTTCACTTTTTATAAAATGTAAAGTAAAATGGTTGACTATTTAACTTACTAGTCTCAAAATGTATATTTATGTAGTAATTTATTAGCCAACTATGAATTTTCTATTGTTAAAATAAACAATTATACAATTCATGAAACATATTGGTAACCGTTAAAAGAACCCATCACTATGTGCTCTACCGAATGTGGAATTTTCGTTCTTCAGAATTATGTCCAATCACACTATTTGATAAATTTGTATGCTAATTGTACTCAAAGGTTTGTTGGTCAGTGGCCACAGACAGGAAGATAACGACTGTACCTGTTCTCCATTACGAATCTTCTGCGTGAAGATGCCATACTCATATCTGATACCGTATCCATACGCTGCCAGACCGAGTGTGGCCATGGAGTCCAGGAAGCAGGCTGCCAAACGACCAAGGCCTCCATTTCCCAAACCAGCATCCTCCTCCAGGTCCTCCAACTCCTCAATGTCCAAGCCCAGCTGCAAAAACCACACACCATTAGCTCAGTTACCTTCCAAACAGTATCCGGTGTGAACCCAATTACATTTCTTGAATTGATAGAGTATTTCAAGGTTCGCATGGTAAACTCACTGGTAGTGGCCATGGTTAAGAATATTTTTGTAGTTTTATTTGTAACGTAAAGAATTAATCATTTATTAATATTATTTTAAATTAACATACAAAAATAATCTGAGAAATTCTGAGTTAGGAGCTACCGAAATTTTGTAGTTAGTTACGCCACTTTCTCCATACTCCAATGCACAACTGCACTCACCTGGTACATAGCTTCATCACAGGCTCCTTGTATGCCCAGGTTGATCATGGTGTTCTGTAGGGTACGGCCCATGTAGTACTCCAAGGATAGGTAGTAAACTCTCTGCAAAAGAAAATGCCCAATGCAAATGGATGCAAAAAGATACATTGTAGAACGTTGATACCCCCAGATCAAAGTTTAAAAAAAAAGAAGCATATTAAATGAAGAGTTGTTTGACTGACAGTAAATCACTATTCTCAGTATGCACATTACTTGAACCCACTTGCCAGCGGTAGAGTTCACTGCCCTCACTTTACCTGCCAACCATCTACTTCCCCTCCCTATATCTTCAGCAACGAGCTGCTGCAAGAGAATAAAGGGGTAGGGGAGGAAGTGGTCATGGTGATGCTATTTAGAGCCACCAATTTGTTTGTACCAAGTATTTTGTATAGTGTAAATAATGTTACAATGTGATTTTAGGAGAAAAAGTGTAGATAAACATTTTTGAACTTCATTAAAAATACGTTTGGAAAATCCATGTTCTTATTTTCATTTTGTATCCCTCATTCTCTGGATAACTGGATTTTCATTGGCCCTGGCTCTAGTACCAGGTGATGCGAGTTAACAAGGTTCTACTTATCCAGCTTGAAAGGAAATGGTAATTACAGACTTATCAACTGATTCTCCCTCTCTTTTTCACACAGTATTAAAACTCACTTTATGTTCTTAGAAAAATTCGAGCTTTCAAACTTTATTACTAAAATTCAAAATTTTGAGTCACAATGCCCCTCTGGCATTATTTATTACAATTAAAACAATCAATCTTTAAATACATTTCAATGAAATAATAACGAACTAGCGTTGATGTGCGAATGTTAATCCCCACCCTTTCCTTCTTAATGGAAAAAATAGGGAAAGTTATTAAAGAAAAGTGTTGATTTGTTCAAAAATGTATAAATGTAACTTTGTACATACAGAATAGCAAACAAAAATAAAAACAATACAATTTATGTTGAAAGCAAATTTTTACTAAAGGTTTATCGAGTATTATAGAGATGTTCTTTGAACAATTCACACATCCTTAAAAACAACATTTGAAGTAATTATTCAATCATCCTTGATAGTTAGCTTTTCACTTTCTTTGATAGTCACAAAAATATTAGAAAAGGTTTTTACTCTTGAGAAAGTAAAGTAAAGTTTCCCATGCGAAAATACACGATTGGGCAACTACAACCCTATTCATTGAAATATTATTTAACTTTACACGATTTGTTATGAGGAACAGAGGGTGGTTTTAGAGGGATAGAGCGCCAGCTTGTTGGGGTGTGAAAATTGAAAAAAAAGTATATTTTCTGTGTCTTTACATACACAATAGAAGTAATTCTTTAGTAAAGTAGTTTACAGCTGGGCATTGATTGACTTCCAAAGACCGTGAACATTTTAATCGTGCGTCTGGATTGGTCATTGGCAGTTGTCGAGTGACTTGTGCTATTCTTTCTATAATTTTAAATTAAGGTTGCTTTTAACTTATTCATTGTATATGTAGGCTATGGCCGTGTTTGGTTTTGTTGCTCAAGCATTTTATTTAAGTTTCTTGGAAAATTCACAATAGTTTCCTTAAAAATATTTCAAGTAATTATGTCAATTATCTTTGAACAGTTATGCTTATTGTTAATAAACACACAAAATATTGAACAAATGCTTTTTACTCTGAGAAGCTATCGTGACTGAACATGGCAGAACTTTGAAAGTTTCATGGAATCACTGCTGATAATGAAAATACAGGTACAGGTAAAACACAAATCAACACCAAACAAGAACAAATGTCCTTCATTCTTGAATATACACCCACATCGCACTCCACAATTAATGTACACAGCATTTTAAGACCTCAGGAAAATGTTACATGAACCCATCCTCTATCAGATGTTTGTCCATGTTTCCCTGGATCATAGAGCAAATATGCTGAGATGGCAACTTGTGTTGCTTCTGGATCGTAAATGTTGTTCACTATGCGGCACGTTTGTTGAACTCTCCTTTTGCTTGTAATGGTAGGAGTAGAGGTAAGGGCCTTACTATTTTGTTAGCATCCAGAAAAAATCATACTTGTAGTTCGTTTACTGATGCAAATATGTTTGCTATAACTCGAGAACGAAATGTCTTTTTTTCAAATATTGCTAATCTTGCGATTTTATTAAATTTTTTTTATTTATTTATATTAAACCGTTTACTATATTTCAACTATTTAATAGTTAAAATTGACGGGAAAGGTATTATGAAAACTCAAGAAAAAACTATGCGCAGATTCTTATCCCATAAACGTCACATATCAGTTTTTACAGTTTTCTTTGACAAATAAATCTAAAAAAATGTTTCACTACACGCATAGAAACAATCTCATCGGTATCAATACTATTAATAGTAATTTTTCCAAGTTTGTTACCCCGAGGGAGAATCGTGAATTAATTTAGTGCAATGAAACCTCGTCAGTCTGCGCAAACCAGCGGTTGTACCCAGAAAAGCGTCAATAGTATAACAGAAGGAATCTAAGCATTATAAGCGTCAACGTCAAAAGATGGTCACCATCACCAGGGTTGAAAATATAGGTGGAATGGTAATATAGACAAGATCGAAACAGCAAAAAATTTAATTACATGTCTAAAGAATATCTCATTCTGTAGATTACGGAGTGAGAACTTTTGAGGCCTAGAATGCTTCGTTTAAAACTCCTTCAGTTCAAACCTCCACAGCGCTATATGTAAATAAATAAAGATATATAAAGATTGGTTGCATGTGAGGGGCGCAAAAGGTATGAATACTAATGAAATAATATAAGACGATATAATTTCTAGGCCAATGACCCCATCTTGATCAGGTTCTGTTCAGTTTCCTCTGGTCCCTTGAGCAAATACTGAGATGGCCCCTTCTTTGACCCTGAACACTAATGTAACTTCGCTCTCTCCACCCAAGACATATTGACTCGTCATACAAAATTGTAATTGTATATGTGACTCAATAAATATTATATTATTATATTAGATTAAACTAATGGTACTACAGAATTGCTCAAACTTTGCTAAAACTTCTAATTTCTATACAGACTTTCCTTATGATTTTCCTTTCCTCGTAGTTTCCTAACTGAATAACCGAAATATTACTTTAAGAATATTAAAGGAGAGCAAAATATTGTTATATATGGAAACTTTCATCGAAAAATTTGGGGTAGTTTCAAGAAAATCGTTACTTTAAATTTGAAGCTCTTTTTTAAAGAAAACTTGAGTTGTCTATAAACTTCAGTGGAAGTCTTTTAAAGTACTTTCACTCACAAATGCAATAATATTTACAAACTGCTGGAATGTGCATATTAAAAGCATGAAAGACGTTTTAAAAAATACATAGTGTAATTTTTCAAATACGAAATTATGATATCTTAAACAGTGCAATTAGCACTACCCGTTCGAAAAGCTTGGAAAAGTTTTTGAAAATAATGCCTTTTAAACATTTCTGTAAATGTTTAATTTTGAGCTCATTTCTATGGAAAACTTTTTTTGTTTTTGAGAAACTTTATCAATTCGAAGTACATATACTCAAATATGAACAAATTGCCGATAATATAAATATTAATGACGAGTATTAATTGACAAAGCCTAACAGTAACCTAACAATGGGAGACTTCTCACTAAATTTCAAGAATAATAAAATCACATTGAAGATGATCACAATTTTTATTTTTTTATGAAATACTTAAGTAAATTAGTTTCAGTAGTGAGGCTGAATATTAATCACAAAGGCAGTGACAAATTACGAATAAGTTACATACATGAAGGCTCGTCTAAAATATTCAGATAATATAACTTAATTTTATAAAATAATAATAAACATTTCAAAACAATGATCTTTCAAAACTGATTTCTTACCCCAAAACGTTCAAATTTTTCAGGAATAATAAACTGAAGAATAGCCATTCCTAATTTGTAAGGAATGTGGTCAAATAAGGAACTATAGTAAGACGGAAAATGCTGAACTCCACTAGAAGAAGTTTAATTACTTTTAAATTTGATCTTAACTGAGTAGTTGTTCTTGACTAGAGAAATGCCAAGTCTGAAAACTCTCAATCATATAACACATACATGAAAGCAGTTAAAATGCTGATGGATGAATGTGGTAGAATACATTATTGCATAAACAATCAATGTGTAAACCGACTTCAATGCAACATTCAAAGCAAATTAACAACATGTAAACAGAAACTACTGAGACCGAATTCTTTACCCTGGCATCTGTTTCAATGCTATAGATCACTAAAAATTCTGCAGATTAAGTTTCATTAAGTCAATCAAAAATACTTATTTTATGCCCATTAATTACAGAATAGGACTGATTTTCAATTTAAAATGTAACTCAATTTTAATGCTACACAAGTATTAAATTGTTAGTCAATTTTCAGTATTTAAATTTTATTGCATTAATTATATATTATGTTAAAATGAGGCCTCTAAATTACTTACAACTACATTCACAAACAATATAATCAAACTGTATTGCAAAGGTGTGGCGATTTTTCTGCATTTCTGGATTAACTTTGGAGTGGGAAAGTTAAGAAATACTGCCCAAATTTCTTTGAGGCATTTCATGCACTGAAAGGACAAAAATCATCTTAAAGTTAAAAAAAAGTTGAGAATAAAACAAGTGCACAGATCACCCTCCTTGTAGTTGCACATTAGATATTAAAGCACGTGGTCTTTGGTAAAGTCACAACAGTTCAGAGTGGCATACGAAATTATACAAGTTCAAGGCTTGAACGTGAAGAATAGTGTATTTTGAGATAACTTCTGTTAAATAACATGGTGATGGCCATGACTCTGTGATACTGAGGTTTCATGAAGTGCAAAAGAATTTGCTTTTTCAAGCACAAGCAGTTGCCTCAGTAATGTTATTTCTGTTTTTATCATTTCACAAAACAACCACTTTATCTATTGTGATGAACCCTTCAAAGAGAGGAATACATATTCTTTCAGTGACACAAACATTTTCAAGATAAGCATTCACAATTGTTTCTGTTCATTATGAATATACGTACAAAGAAAATAACAAAACAAGGTCAAGAATTTTTTAAGTTTTCT